ACCAGAGTCAACAGTCCCATGGAACTAATATCACCATGTCTTCACTTGAAGGTTGTAGTTCTTGTCGTTTTCATCATATCTGCACAGAAAGTTTCGCGTATGCAAAAGCAGATGCAAGGCACAAAGTTTGAATCTAATCAATCAATCAATCAATCGACGTCGCATGGGTAGGTAGCCCAAGCTGCCACGTCTTGATCGACCCTCGGATACTTTCATCATACCCTGTGGGGTCCAGTGCCATCATGCCACAGCTCATGAGCTTCAGATATGACTCTTCCGTACTTTATCTTCCGAATCGGACATCATGTCCGTCATCTTTTTCTTCTTCTTCTTCTTGAACCGTTCTTCCTGGACCTTCGGCTAGAAGCCGAGGTCCTAGACTCCAGTGACTAGGTATGTACCGAGATCAAGTGAGCTGCCATATGTCCGATGAATGTCCTATGTCGGCCTGCCATCATCATTGACGGCAATAAGTTCTTGGTTGCTACGATCCCTACTGAAGCAATCACAAGCTTTAGCCTGCAATTGGGTCCATCAATGTCCTCCACCAACGCAAGATAAGCCCTCCAGAGGATGTTCAGAAATGATAGATTGCAGCTCCGTAGCTGTTCGACGTCGAGGGACTGATATCGTATCCTGGCAACCTCTAGTTGTTATCTCATACTTCGGGTTCAATAGCAGTCCTGACATTGACAACCAAAGACAAAGTTTCGAGATAACACCAAGGTGCATCATGATAGACATATAGCCACAGAGTGATTGGCAGATTTTGTTTCTGTCCAAGATATGATACTGTGTCTATTTTTGTTGAGCGTCGTCATGACTTCCTGGTATCAGCCCCTGAATCAACTCGTAATCGTGTATCTTGAAGAACGGGAGGAAATCCGATCGCCTCTGTTTTCGGTCAAGCACATGGCGGTGTCAAGGTCACAGCCATCCATGATGAACTAGGGGCCCTAGCTCTTACGGTGAGAACAAGGTGAGGAAGATTTGAAGGCTGGCCCCGTTCAACAATTTTTGTTGACGGGCGCCGCCATAATTCCAACAATAGCAATCGCCCCCTGGTTTAAGCCCCTATGGTCTAGGTTTTAGCTCTGTCTCATTTGATTTGGCTCGAGAATTCCTTCTGGAATCCGAACTGCGCAACTGAAATCAGCCGCCAGCGCAGCTCAACAATCTCAGACGCGCGCGAATCCCAATATTCACACGGTCTTCAGTTTATGCACGGGTCAGCCCAGTACCCATGAGCAAGATCCAGTCTTGGTCTCGACTGTGCTTGCTCTTGGCCCTGATCAGTTCTTGTGACTTCCAGATCTTTCATCTGATAACATTGAATGCCGAATCTCTGACGTCGGAGGTTTTCCGTGCTCTGAGCCGAGGCAATTCAAAATCTCAATTCGCAAGAAAGGGATCAAGTATGGAGTAATTGCCGGTAGAAAGCCCAATCCAGGTGTAGGAAACAGGGCCATCTGGTTACGGAGTCCGCTCTGTCTCCCCGGCCCAAGGGGGACTTCCGACCTTTGAGCAACCGACCGAGTTGGCGGGTTTCTAGAAGTGGACCAGGAGACGTTCACTGACAGCTTTGGGGGTGTCACGGGTCCTCTCCCGTTCTTCAGACCTTGCTCAATGCCGCGCTACCATACATACACCAATCCCCTCCCATGCCACTTTAAGCAGCTTTAAGCTGCATGATCGGCGTGATCTATACGTAGTCAGAAACGCAAAGTGGAAAGTAATCAGTGGCTGGCTTCATTTCGAGAGGTTGTAATGATATCGTGGCCAGACTGAGTTACGACAGGCCCTTGCGTAATCGGGTTCCGAACTGGACAGCAGAACGATCGACGAGTAGCAATAAGAGGCGTCTCCAAAACAGTGTATCCAGTACAGCTGGCTTCTGACCGCCCTGTTAATGCTAGAGCAACAATTGGTCCAAAGAATGGCGATCTTGAGAGCGACAGGCACAATCCACGTGCGTCAGATCAGAGTCCCCTGCCGAGACTCGTCAGCAGCCATTGGCATTTGTTGATTGTAGGCGAAAGGTTGAGTGTAAGGCGGGGGGCTTAAAGCGACGTTGTTCTGTTCCATAGACCCTTGTCCCACCTAGAGTTACAGCACCTAGCCAGAGTACGTATGTAGCTTCAAGCTCAACGAGTTCCACCCACGGATCTGTTTCGTTGTAGTGATGGTTTTGGAGGCTGTGAGGATGGTGCCATGTTGATTCTTCCGGCGGCACATTGCGACACTCTTTGCATAGCATTAGTATGCATTGCACACAGTATCTAAAGTTGTCGTAAGTTGACGCCACTGTTCCTCTGATCTGATACTGTTATCTCTTGATAAAACACAGAGCCAGGCACAGGGTAACTTTGTGATTGACACCTTTAAGTGGTTGCCTCAACCTCAACCTCAACTCTGCTCTCTTGATGTTTTCGGGCTTTGACGGCTCAAGCAAGCTATGGTTCGATAAAAAAGACAAGTGATCGAGCTGGAAATCGACCTGGAGAAGCCCCGTAGTTGCCTCCTTTCTAGCCCGGGGGTGGACCATGGACCCAATCTCTCAGCAGAACGAAAGCTGGGGATGGCTACCTATCGTGAGGTTGATGAGGAATCAGTAACGCAGTAATACATAACCCCCTGATGAGCTGGCCCGTACGGTGAATGCTAAGTACTGTACTGTACTGTACTGTACTGTATGTAGTAGCCTGTGCTATTTCAAGGTAGTTGATTGGATCTCAACATGTGTTTAATGATGTGCCACTTGCATGAGGGACCTTGTTTGCACCGGGCGGCATTCGGTATTTCGTCGCCGAGTCGGGAACTGCCATGTTATTATGGTATGGTCACTGCTTCGCATCCTTGCTGATTTTGGTGCTGCTGCTGCCAATATTCATTTGTTTGTTTGCAACGAAACGGAAGAGATATATTTAGAGGTTTTTGATACCGTGATGTTTCGCAGCAAAAATAGTTGTTTGAAAGCTCATCAAATTGTCAGAGTAGAATGGATGTGCTGCAGGGTGAGAGTTGTTTGACACAACCCTTCCTTCTGTTTCGGTTCTTTCAGAAGCAACATCAGCTTCCGACTTGTACAGTAAGGTACTGTACCTGCTCTCCACACTCCATTACCTTTAGCGGGATCAACGCTGTAGTCGCTAAAATAAGGTGAGCTAACAGGGCGGGATCGGTACCGTACCTTCCAGGTTCCAAGGATGAGGTGTGGAGGCTCTGAGTGACTCTTTCCTCAACCCCGTTGCTGTTGCTGTTTCTGTTGCGGTTGCTGCTGCTCATTCCATCCCCAGATCACACGGGCCTCCCGGACAAGCATCCGCGCTTGCTTCATCTTGAGGTCAAGCTACCAGAAGCTCCTTCCCGCCTTCCCCCTCCTCTAGCTTATCTTGCCTTACCTGGTGTCTCAGTCACAATTGGGATACATACATAAACCCTCCTTCCCTCCCTCCAATTGAAGCATCCAATTGCTTCCACTTATACCTGTGCCTACCTGTATCATCTATCCATTGCATCCGTGGACCCTCTACTCTTCTCATCTCCTGATTAGACTTGGTCACCGCTATCCGTACACTACCTTGCCTTACCAACCACACTCCATCAGATCCATACTACTACGCCAAACGTATAAGTAGCTGGACACCGCCAACACCTTGCTACCACCACAACAAACCTCTGTCATCTTGTCACATCCAACTCTATCACAATGCCTAGAATCACCGCTCCCGTCTCAAAGCTCACTCGCTCTCTGGCCGAGTCTCAGCGCCATGCCGGTATCGCTCTCATGCCCAAGTATGCCGAGCTCCTTGGAGCTTCTTCAGAGCAGTCTCAGCACTCTGAGGTGAGTTTCTTCTCTTCCAATTAGTCGTTGCAGCTCTGGTACTAACAATACTTCCAGTCCCGTGGTCTAAAGACTACCCACCGCCCTACTCCTCAGCCATCTCTTTCTGGTCGCCGAAGGCCATTGATGCAGAGCTTCCATTCCTCAACACCTTCTCGTGCTCCTGTCAACCATGTCGACAGCACAGTCTTGCCCAAGATTCACGCTACCCCCAACTTCAACGAGCCTCTCCCTCGTATGCCTCTTCTCCCTGACAACTATGGCGCCTACCACAGCTCAATGTCCGATGCCGCCGACTTGTATAGCAAGCGGCCCGTCATCTTCGCTGTCGACCCTGATGTCGTCGTTCCTGGTGCTCCCATGGCTACTATGGATGCCGTGAATATGGACAGCGTCGACGTCAAGTTTGTTCATGAGCAGCCTGCTCAGGAGACAAAGCCAGACGACTCTGACAGAAGTACCTTTCTCAAAGACGTCTTCGGCGGAATGATCCAGGATATTCTCCCTGGACGCACGCTCAGCAAAAACTAAGAATCAAGTGAAAATACGAAAGGGACGATAAGGCGGAGTCTGGTTATGCCAGCTACTCATAAAGAGAGCTGATGATCTATTAAGCGTTTTTAATCTGTTTATGCGAAGCAAGGTGCGGTTGCATCAATTAATGGCCCGTTACAAGAGGCTCCTGTGGTTAAGAACCATCCTTTTTTTATACATCGATACACAATGATAAAGTGAAAGCCCAAGTGGCAGACTGGAATCAATACCAATCCTTTGTTATCCTTGCAACTCAAGCTTCGTAACTGGTGAATAATGACTGCCAGATCATCAACGTATTTGTCCGCAAGCTTACGGGCTCATCTCACTGCGTTGCCATATGATGGCATGTGTAAAGGCTAAATGCCATTGGGTACTATGCCAGGTTTGTGTTGATGTTTTATTGCATCTATGGTATCATCTCTCGTAAAACACCACCACCTGCATTGCCTTGTTCTTTTTGGTCCAAACTCAACATTCCATCCTTTTCGGCCCTTTCCTATCAATCTTGGAGTCTTCACCAATTGTGGTACAGTACATAATCGCAACTAACTATTAATCGACCAACGAAATCCATTCCCTCCCCTATAGCCCGTCGTCCTCTTGATATTCGTGTGATCCTTTATCGCTTCTTGAGTGATGGCCTGGGCTTGCACTCGTCCTGGTTGACAGGGTGCAACATCACCTTGATAGGGTAGTTCTGAGTGTTGTGTTGGTAGCCCTTGGCCCAGTCATAACCTACAGCGTAGGCGAAGATGGAACCGTTCTTGTTGAAGGTTGTGGAAGTGATGCTGCCACCAACATTAGGGTAGCCCTTAAGACGGTGCTTGGCGTCCTTGTCCCAGAAGTGGAATGTGCCATCAGAACCAGCAGTGCTGAATGTGCCATGGACGGGGTGGAAAGAAATATCGTTGACGGCATAGACATTGGTGACGCTGTTGGCGGGGGGGTCGCGATGGCACTTGAAAGAGAAGTTGGAGCTGCAATATGTTAGTCTCAGCAGGTCAAGAAATGCAGATTCAAGAGGCTTCGTACCTAGAGTCCTTGTCTTCGACGTATTGGATAGCGCAACGACCCTCGATACTACCAATAGCAAAACCAGCAGAGTCAGTAAAGCAGCTAACCACCCTGGTCTGCCACTTGAGAGGGCTCTGCAGGGTTTTATAGAATTTGGTAGGGTTCTTGAGATCAATAACATTGATGTATCGATCGGCGGTGCCGACAACGCAGAGATTATCGCGGACGTCCATCGTATAAACTCGCTCCTGGCATTGTACGGTTGCCGCAGGTCCCTGTTGTCTAAGATCCCAGTACTTGATCGTCTTATCCCACGAGCCCGAAACCACCATGGGGTTACCATCGTTCATGAAAAATCGACATGTTCGCACTGGCTGGTCGTGTGTGCCAATAACGGCGTCCTGCTGGGAGGCAAGATCGCAGACCTTGACATTCTTGTCGGCGCCAGCAGAGACGACTTTTGTTCCGTCCTAGAAACCTTGTCAGTTGCCGTTTCGTTTCGCTCGATCATTATATCTTCGTACCTTGGAGAAGTCGCAGTTCAACACAGGTTGGCTGTGCTCGTAGGCATGTCGGCCCTGACTCTGGCCATTGGCAGCAATCTCGTAAATGCGAACCTTGTTATCCCAACTGGAGATGGCGAGGAAGTCAGGTCCGTTCGGCGCGGGAGAGAAGGAAAGGTCGGAGATGGTATCGGTAGGGGGGTCTGAGAGTGCGACATCTTGCTTAAGGTCACCAACGGTGTTGCTTGTCGTTGATGCGGCTGAAGCACCGCCAAAAAGGGTCGACATGATTGCGGTGTGTTGAAGGAGAGAAAGTTGAAAGCCAGTTGGTGGCACTTTTTCTGTCTTTTTGCCTTTGGGATCCCGCTCCTGAGACTCAAAAACTTAGTGGTTTATGAGCGGAACTTCCAACTGGCCACGCGACTAATCTCAGATGAAAAACAGATCTTTAGAGAGTTGATGTTTGCACTGTTGAAACTGGTTGCGCCGCGAGCTTTGTACTGAGAATGAATAAACAGGCACGAAGGCAGCGACCCAGCCTTCTCAACGCGAAGTTCGGATTGGCCAACCCGCGTCGGACAAAAAAAGGCAGCAAGCTAAGGTACAGCCACATCTGGGAGCTCTGATTCATGACGCCACACTTCAGCCCCATTTCGTGCATAAAAATTCAACTTGAGCTGGAAACGATTTTTCCTTCTTCTTTCTTCTTTTCATCCGCGCCCCTCGCTCAAAAAATCGCCATTCGAAGCTCACAAACAGAGACACTGCGATTTATCGCAGCGTCTCGCATTCTTTCTGGCTTTGGGAGAAAGTCCCCGGACATCTTCGTTTCGACGGAGCTTGCGGAAACGCGCCGCCATAGAAGCACAGCGGCTGACTTCTGCACCCAGGCCCGCGCCCTTCACCGGCCCTGCCCTCCGCTACATCAGTTTGTTAAAAGGCTCTGAATCGCGTTCTGTGCCGCTCTCGGTCCCCTTGGATGAAGATATGAGTCCGCTGCCGAGAGATTGGTGGGTTTCGAGACAGACGAGTCGTCTGGCAAGTTGATGGTTGGCAGACGTTTGGTGCTCGCGCGTGTGGTATCGGGTGGCAGAGGATTTTTGTCGAGATTGATAGGTATGCGATTGCTCGGCGAAGGCTGGGTTACTCGATGGGGCTCATTCTTGATGCGAGGGGCCGGCATCCCGTTGACCTTTGGGTGACGGTCTTTTCCTTTTTTACACTCTAAACTTCGCTGGAAGTTCCCCTCTTTGGGAGAGACCTGAACTTGGATGAGATGGGTTGAAGTTTTTATGATGATGACCAAACATAGAGTCAAGCACCGAGTCAGAAAATCTGACGTTGTGGACCACCAAATTATGTCAACTGAAAAACTTCAAAGTTCTCGTTTAGGTAACGGATATCGATGTCAGGATAGATAGTAGCTGCAACTTTAACTGTCGACGTTTCGATGTGATATTGTACTTGGTTCAGGCTGCGAGACGCCTTCTGTTCAACGTAGCCCACCTACCATGGTTTCTCATGGATGATTTGCAAAGAAATCTACTCGAAAATCTTGCATTCTCCTTCCGTATCTTCGCTGAGCATGGTATTGAAGCTGGGATAACGGGTGGAGAGATCTTATGATCTTCTGGTCTACGCCTTTAGCCTTCGGCCCTGTCTTCAAGCACGTCATATATTCATTAAAGGTGCCTACCAATGAAGCACTCGAGATACTACCCTGATTCCCTTCTAGCTCTGATGATCCTTCTATACAACCCCTATATCTAAGGATGGGTTGCTGCCCACGTATATGTTCTAGTTCTATTTATCCAACTTTGTCTAGTTTGACACATTCTATCTCGCTTGATTTAGGGTGTGAACTTGCCAAGAGCGCCTTCTTTGCCTCCGTCAAACAAGTCATGCAAGTTATCGAGCTCCTGGAAGTGTTTTGCGTACTCCATACCCTTACGTCGCTGCGCCTCAACACGTCGCCAATCCCATTCTCCAGGGACATCCAAATCCACATCTGAGACATCAGCAGAAAGATCACCGAGTTGCTGTTCACCAGATGTCCAACCTCCAGGCCGCTCAGGTAGCAGACCAGAGGCGCCGCCGAGCATGATAGCTGGGTTCACAGTAAAGCGGCCCAGCTTGAAAACGTACTTGCTTATGGCCGTAGCATAGATCTTCTTCTCCCATCCACCAGCAGCATCTTGAGGGCCTCGCGCAGAAACCTTGTTGAACGTGGGGTCCAGCCATGATGTAGGCTTAGCAGCTCCCTTAGGGATATAATGTGTCACGATATATAACCACTTGCGGTCCCAGCATAGAATGCGACTCCACATCTCGAAGCTTTTATACGCAGGAATCTCGCGCTTAAAACTACACTCGACAGCACCAAGTATGATGCTCATCTGGCCCTTGATGGGCTTATCGGTCTTGGGGTCTAGGACAATCTTGGTCTTGCTGTTTTGGGCGAGTGTAATATAGGATGCGCGGCAGAGATATGTAACGAGATGAGATCGTGAGACGTCGAGATCGGCGAAATAGGTCGAGTTGGACTTATGGAAGTTGTAGTCAATCTCGAGAAGAGGGGCGTGGGTGGTAGAGATCATGGGTTTGAAGAGGGCTTCGGGCCCAAGATTAGGCGATTTGCGCCAGAAGGTATGGTAGAAGATCACATAGAAGACTCGGTACTATAGAGTGTCAGGGTGTTACACCAAGGCCAGGAGAGACCATTGAGACTTACAGTCCAAGCAAAGGGCATGCTCTTCCAGTTGAACACAAAGAACAGCAGCAACAGGATTCGCGACGTGCGGCCAGGTCCTGTAAGGAAAGCCTTAATCAGAGGACCCCAATTGACCCGATAGGCAGCATATCCAGCAGAACCTAGAGCAAGAGGCATAATGACAGGCACCACATGGGAAAGCCCAAACATTTTCTTATTTGCGCCGGCCATGGTGAGTCGACTGTGGTGTTTGCGACAACCCTGAGGGATTGGAAGAATGGGATTCACCCGGTATTTATCTCAACCGAACGCGGTTAATTAAAACCCGCCCAATCTCGTGCGACAGAGATTTGCCAATCAAGGAAGCTTGTGACGAACGCCGAGGATGCCGTAGGTATTAGTGAGTGTCCAAGGCCCTGAAGTTAGTTGCCCCCCTTGAAAAGTTCAAAGCTCTTTTGCGATATGCCACTATCGATTAAGAATTGAAGGAGCCGAGGCACGGGAGTTTTGGTGGGAACGCGACTCGGCCGAGTTGTGTAAGCGATGAAAATGTTGAGAAAGTCAAGCACAAATAGATTATCCTGTTAGAGAATAACAGGCAGAGAACAGGAGCGTTATAGCATGACAACAAGAAGGTCTCGGCAGCTTTATACTAGCTTGCTTGCGACGTTGCAATCTGACGCGGTGAGCATTCAGCATGCAAGATACTGCAAGATATAGAACATGACAGCGTCTCTATCCATACCATACATCACACGTCAGCTTACCGCACGGTAAGAAGCAGGATTACTATCAGAAGCACTCGTCTCGAATAGCATCACAACAGGCACCTCTACAGTTGGACTGACAAAAAGATGAAGTTGCTTGAATTGCAAAAAGAGGATATATGGTGGAATCTAACCACCTGCAATGGACGAACAGGGAATCGAACCCTGGACCACTCCCAGATTATTCGGTCGAATTATGCTAAGGGAGTATTATACCACTAAACCATTCGCCCAGTTATTGATAGTAACAAGATGGAAAATCTGAATCTATGAAGATGAGAGGGGCGTGTGAGATGCTATGGTATTAACAACATGATGTTGTAAAATCACACAATTCAAAGTTGGTTTGTCCACTGATTCTGAACCTCGTGTTTGAAGTTTATGCTCTTCTTTATTCTATACTTTTAAGTGCTTATAGTGACTTCTCAACCTCATCAACTGCGTCAATGACTCCCTTCCACTTCGCCCACTCAGCATCACCACCAGGAATACCACCCACGAGCGGCAACCTCGTACCGTCTGTATCCCCAAAGCCTCTCAGTCTGCTAATAGCATCCTTGATGCCCACAGTACCAAACTTGACCACAAGCTCCTCCATTGAGCTAACCTTGAACTGCAGCAGTCTTCGCTCCTGGATCTCAGCATCTGTAGGCTGGGTCTTGGACGACAGCTCGAAGAGTCGCACCAGTGACTTGGGGAAGAATCCCGCTGAGCCATCAATGGCACCGGCAAAGCCAACTGAGATGACAGGTAGGAGCTGTTGTCCGAGGCCTGTGAAACAGTGGAAGTGGCTGTGATCGATGGATGGGTTGGAAGCAACCTGCGCGGCTACCGAGACATCTCCATGAGAGAGCTTGCAGCCGACAATGTTAGGGTGCTTTGCAAGCGTGGCATATGTCGAAGGTGCAACTTTGACGTTGTTTGAGACTCCGGGGTAATGGTAGCTGAGCGATCTGGTTAGTCCGGGGTTTTGGTATGATTGGGTCGAGACGACTTACATCATGACAGGAATGGGACTTTGGTCAGCAACGGCAGTAAACCATTGGATGATACCCTCTTGTGTAACTGCACCGGCATTGTACCCAGGAACGAGGCACAATCCCCATTGGGAACCCGACTTTTGAGCATCCTTGAGTTGTTCAACAGTCTCTTCGACGCTGTTTGTCGCTGTGCCCGCAATGATGGGGTAATCCTTGAAACCCTCCTTCTCAAGACCAGCCTTGATACCACTAAGAATGGCGTGGCGATCTCTAGGGTGAATATGAACAGCTTCTCCTGTGCTACCGAGGACGACTAGGCCCTTGATTCCATTCTTGGCCAGGAAGACTGAATGAGCGACCTGTGTTTCAATATCGATGGGAGGGGTAACAGCGTTGTAGTTGGCAGTCTTCTTGGAAGCGAAGAACGTGGGAACGGGCACGTAGATACCCTTGGGCGGAGGAGCAGACATTTTTGGTGGCAGTGATTTCTATGTCACAGATGAATTGAGAAGAACAGAGGAATTATCAACTCGTGAGGGGTTCGCTGAGGACATTGTTTATTATAAGCACGCATTTGCCGTCATGCAACCCAAACCTCGGTTCTTCGGGGTAAGTTACAGCGAAATTCTAGTCTTGGAGTTGGGGAAGGGTAATGGTTCGGCCTATCGAGACAGAAATATGGTAACACCCGCCGAGATCGGTGGAAACCTTCCCCCAATCTGGAAAACAACGGGATAGTTTCCGGCTCGGTTGATAGAATCATGAAGTGGTTGTGTGTTGTTGTGTGTTTACTTTAGCCAATGGTTGTACAAGGAAAGGAAGCCTACTTAC